GAAAGAAAGAAAGAAAGAAAGAAAGAAAGAAAGAAAGAAAGAAAGAAAGAAAGAAAGAAAGAAAGGTCAATGGGGAAGCCAGCAGGAAATCGGAAGTCATTCCCGCTCCTATTGTTTTTGCTTGTTTGCTTTGTTTTGTTTAGCCCACCCCTTGCAAAAAAAAACCACCATTGACTTTGTTTCTCTCTTTAGGTAAGAAAATATCTCTGAAAATTTGACCCAGTTGATCACAGGCTGTCCACTATATATTAACAACACATATATTTGCAGGATGCTATAGAAAAGGGACCTGTGGGGGCCTTGGTGCTCTCTGAATAGTTGGTTTTCTTGCAGACAGTTCAGTACCCAAATAGCTAACATCATCAGTGCTAGTAAGGAGTGGGATTTGCTCTCGGTTTATATTCTAGTGGCTTGCCCTGTGAGTATTGGTGGAGCTGGTTTTAGAAGTTCTTAGTTCGGGTAATGAAACGTCTGCAAGGAAACATCTAAGCTCAGGTAGCACCGAGGACCCATTATTTCAACCTTGAGCCACAAATATTCTTCATCAAAAGGGAACTGTCCGAACATAAGAAGGTGAAAATGAGAAACTGGGAAAAAACTAAAACTGTCTGATTTGTTAATCCCCTGTGACCGGTTGCACTAAAGCGAAAGACAGAGAAACAAAGTCATATCAAATGTCTGAGGAGCAAATGGAAAAGTGTCTTTGCACTCCCCACTCAACTTGGTCCTTATTCTTAGAATTTGTTCCTTCCTCTTGTCTTCCCAGGGTGCGCTTTTGTGAAATACTCCTCACATGCAGAAGCCCAGGCGGCCATAAATGCTTTACACGGAAGCCAGACAATGCCGGTGAGTATTTCATTATGGCTTGGTCGTTTGCAGGGGTGGTGAACTTGTAGCTAATGTTATCATTTTTAAAATAAATTTATTTATTCAACATTTTAACATTTAAAAACAAATTTCCACAATTTACAACATTACTGTAGCAATGTTTACATTATAAATATCTTCTATTAACGTGTTATACATCTCTGTTTCTTCGTCATTCTAGGCATTATATACCTATATACATTTTTATTTACATTTATTTACACGAAAACCTTGTGGTTTTATGGTTTTACAGTATTACATAAGTCATTTGATGCCTTTGTGTCTTATTCTTATCCATTCGTACTGAACATCCCACATTTTATAAAATTCTCCTTCTTCTTTATCCTTCAATAGCTTAGTTAGTCTATCCGTCTCTGCGCATTCATATATCTTATTAATAATTGTGGCTTCTAGGGAGGTTGTAGTCTGCTTCCAATTTTGGGCGCAAGAGATTCTGGCCGCCGTTATGATACGGAGCATCAAATATTGGTATTTTCTATCGAAATTAGGTTCTAATTTTATCATTTTTAATGACCGGTTCAGCAAACTGGAATATTTGACCCCTGGCTGGCCCCACCCCTCCCACGCTTCCCCTCCCAAGGAGTCCCCACACGGTCAGTTTTGGATGCCAGGTAAGTACAGGGCCCACATGGAGGCTCAGGGAGGGCAAAAATGCCCCCCTCCACTGTGGTGCAGAAGCCAACTAGGCCACACCCACCATAGCCACACACCCCAGCAACTGGGCAGAGAACCAATTGCTAAAATTTTTGAAGCCTACCCCTGGTCATTTGGGCACAGACAATAGGGATTGACTGTCAGGCCCCAAGAAGCAAGAACAATATGTGGAGTTACTTCTGAGTAGTTTCTTGATTGCTGTTTGCCTACAGACAGAATCTTGCCAGACTCAATCAACCATCTGCACAACTACAGGCATTCCTCGACTTACAAGCACAACAGAGCCCCAAATTTCTGTCGTCAAGTGAGACATTTGTTAAGTGGGTTTTATCCCCCATGAGACCTTTCTGGCCTCACTTGTTAAATGAATCACTGCAGTTGTTAAGTTAGTAACCCGGTTGTTAAGTGAATCTGACTTCCCAATGGACTTTGCTTGTTGGAAGGTCACAAAAGAGGATCATGTAACCCCGGGACACAGCAATAGTCGTAAATATGAGCCAGTTGCCAAGTGTCTGAATTTTGATCATGTGATTGTAGGGAGGCTGCAAATGTCATTAGTGTGAAAAATGGTCATAAATCACTTCTGCCGGTGCCATTGTAACTTTGAATGGTCACTAAATGAACTGTTGTAAGTTGAGAACTACCTGTATAGTTATACTTTGCCAGCTGCTAGGGAGGTGCTACCTTAATCTTGTTCCTACCTATTAAACTTTCCAAGCTGTGCTCCTCTTTGCCCTCTGGGAAGCAGCCCCTCCCATCTGGGAATCCAGAATACATTCCACCGCAATGCCAAACAGATATTTACAGAATCAATCCATTGTAATGAAATGCAGGGGAAGAGAGGCCACCTAGGAAACAATCAAAGTAAAGTCCCAAAAGTGCTTTTGTTTTCCAAAAGGCAACTGGACTTTCCTGGATTTTTTTTTCTCCTTTGAATATGTTTCGCTTCTCATCCAAGAAGCTTCTTCAGTTCTAACTTGTGGGGAATAGAAGAATGCAAAACAAATGAGATACATGCAGATCTGTACACTGGGGAAATCTCTATTTCCATCCCGCTCCAGGGGGAGGATATTGTAAAATCTCCATTCCCTCCCTACTCCTGGGGGAAGGTTACTGCAAAATCCCATTCCCTCTCCACCCCACTAACCTGGTTTCCAGCTCCGTTCTCCTGTGCAGGGCAACCCAAGAAGACCCAGCCGATCAGCTGGGACTCAATGGGAGGCGGAGAATAGATGGGAGCGGGGCCAGTCAGAGGTGGCATTTGCCGGTTCTCTGAACCACTAAAAATTTCCACTACCGGTACTCCAGAACTAGTCAGATCCTGCTGAAGACCACCTCTGAACCCTGACCTGGAGGACTGAGAATCTCCATAGACAATCAAAGAAAAGAGGAAGGAGCCCTGAGTGGTTTAATGGTCTGAAGAAGAAACTTAAGGAAAGACTCACTGTAACGCATCAATCATTTCTCCCAGCCGGTCTTTGAAAACTTGCAGATTGGCACACAAACCACAAACCACCATGCAGAGCAGAAAGCAGGTTTCAAGGGCATCTGTACCTTCAGACTTGCAAGACTGACTTAATGCAGCCCCATCATAAAGTAGATAGAGCTCACTTAGTAGTGTTTCCTGCCTTTACCCAGGAAAGTTGACACCCACAGACGAAACATACAGCCCATCAAAGTGCCTTCTCTGAAAACTCCAGCCTACAGAAGGATGGATGAAGACTGGTCCTTGCCAGTGGTAGGGTTCAAAGTAGTTTACCACCAATTTGGTGGGCGTGGCTTGGTGGGCACGCTTTGCATGCACACACACACATTTTGCGTGTGGGTGGGCCCAACAGCGGATCGTTGGAGAGAACCAGTTCTCTCCGACATGATCTTTGGAGCTACCGGTTCGAGCAAACCACACTGAACCGGTAGAATCCCAACCATGGTCCTTGCAGATCTTCATCTTCGGTGTATTTCTTTGAATACCGGCAATTGTCTTCTTCTGGTTACATATGCGAGATCTTTCTGTCTCTCGTGGTAGGCCTTAATTTCTGGTCCTCTGGCTACTCTTTGTTAACCTTTTCTATTCTATTAACCTATAATCTATTTGTCAATCTATTCTCCAAAGCACCTGAAGGCAGACAAGAAGCAACGGGTTGGAAGCTAATCAAGGAGAGACCCAACATAGAATTAAGAAGAAATTTCCTGACAAAATAATTAATCAGTGGAACAATTTTCCTCCAGAAGTTGTGGGTGCTTCAACACTGGAGTTTTTAAAGAAGAGATGGGACAACCACTTGTCTGGAATGGTACAGGGGGTTGGACTAGAAGACCTCCAAGGTGCCTTCCAACCTTATTATTCTATGTTCTGTAAGTTCGAATACCTAGTCCAAGGGTCTTCAAACTTGGCAAGTTTAAGACTTGTAGACTTCAACTCCCAGAATTCCTGAACTAACATGACTGGAGGAGGAATTCTGGGAGTTGAAGTCCACAAGGCTTCAAGCTGTCAAGTTTGAAGACCCCTGACCTAGTCTTTTTTTAAAGGCCACCAAGATGTCCCTCTGACCTACAAATTATGTGAAACACTGAATTATGGGATTGTTTTAGTCCTGTCCAGTTACACGGATGTTCATTCTACCGGGATGAGCATAATCTCTTGATCTTCTCACTTCCGGATCCACTTTTGTCCTTCTGTTATGCCAGGGATTAAGTTGTCCCCTTCGCTGGATCAATTCACCGGTCTTCTGCCAAGGTTTTATCCTGCATCCATCAAAATTCTGGTCAGGACAGAAGCAGCCATTTGCTTCTGTAACAAGCCTCCTGTCCCTCCCTCTCTCCAGCTATCAGAATTATGGTTCCTCTGTGGTTTCAATTCACACAACATATGGCACCTAAGAGTTTCCAAAAAGGCCATTTTATCTAATTAAAATGCCTTCTCCCCTTCATGAACATCAGAATCTGTCACATAAACAGTGGCCCTCTTTGCAGGAATGCAAGATGGATCACACCCTTGAGATGCTTAACCTAGTTGGGTAGAAACCTAGTCAGTGCCTAAGTGAGGGTAGTGTAAAACCGTCATTATTTGAACAATAGTTCAAATTTAGGCAGCCTTCTTACCTTTAAATCCTCTCCCTTAACCAAAGGAGGAGAGGTGGAGAAGATTTGGGCACTTTAAATAGAATATTTTCTCTCGCTTTAGATTACAGTAAAATATAGGTATTTTTTAAGCTTCTGAAAAGTCTGGAAGAAGATCAGGGAGATCAAAACTCATGTATTATGGGATCCAGAGTAAACCTAGAGGTACTTTTCCACTTTCTCTCATTTCCACACCTATCTGTGACAAAGGTCCTTCTGGAGACAACCAGCATTAAGATAGCACCGAAGGGAGTATCGTACAGATTACAGAAGAATTTCCTAGCCAGCCTCTATCCAGGAAGGAGGAGACGAGGTGTCTGCTTTAAACTTTCCCAAATCTAACATTATGTTAAATGCTTCAAAGAACCCAAGTTCCATAAACAAACTATTTAGAGAAAAGTTTTTCCTTCCTTCCTTCCTTCCTTCCTTCCTCCCTCCCTCCCTTATTCTTTTCTATTCCCTCTTTGCTTTGCTTTCCTTCCTTATTTCTCTCCTTCCTTTTCCTTCCTTCCTTCCTTCCTTCCTTCCTTCCTCTGCTTCTTCTTTCATAACCTTTCTCTTTCCCCTTCTCTCCCTCTTTCTTTTTATCCTTTTCCCCTTTTCTTTCCCTTCCCTTTTCTCCTTCTCTCTCCCCTTCCTCCCTCCTTTCCTCTTCTTTCCTTCCTTCCTCCATTCTTTCCTCCCTCCCTCCCTTCCTTTTCCTTCCTTCCTTCCTTCCTTCCTCCTTCTGTCCATTCCTTTCTCTCCCTCCCTCTTCCTTCCTTCCTTCTTCTCCCCCTTCTTTCCTCCCTCCCTTCCCTCCTTCCTATTTTTTCCCCCCCTCTCAGCAGCTCTCCCTTGCATTCCCGTTGGCCAAAAGACGAATTATCCTGTATCATCCAAGACATTGTTAACTCCTGTTCTCTGTGAGTGGGGACGTGCATGCGTAGTTGCGTGCATTTGCTAATCCACAGCACAACTTCCTCTCTTCTTCCTCTCCCCTCTCCTTATTGTTCCATAAATGAACTAATAAATCAGATGTTCCCGGGGCTCAGAATAGAAAACTCGGCAGGCCAGGCGCTTGACAAGGCCTATGAATCATCCCCAGCTTCAGAGGTGGCCTTTGGGGGGCATAGAGACCTCATTGGAACTACTTGGTCTATCTAGTCACATCCCAGGAATCGTGCAGGCATCTGTTAGGACAG